TTGTGGTGTACCTGTTAAGTTTGTGGGTACAACATTGAAAAAAACCCTATGCCATTTTCTATTGATTATTGATTTAGATAAAAAGTTATAGACATAGGTGTGGGTACTTATTTATTTAGGTAACAAGGTATAGATTAACTTTACTTTTTGAGTAAAAGGTTTTAATATAGATATGCTGACTTTGCCTTAGCTTAACATACAGGATATGGCCTGTAGGATTTTTGCATTACAGCCAAACTTACTTTAATATAAATTTATAAACCTATTACAATACATCAAATACTTAAACTATAAGAAAAGATATATATATATGCAAGCAAGCAAGCAAGCAGGTTAGTCCTATAGGCTCACCTCACTCCTGCCCTCCCCCACCCCATTCCCTTCTGCCCTCAACACCCCGAGCCCTGCCCCTCCCCCCAGTCCCACCTCACTCCTGCCCTCCTCTCCCCCACCCCATTCCCTTCTGCCCTAACCCCCCCCCGAGCCCTACTCCTCCCCAGTCTCACCTCACTGCTGCCCTCCCCACCCCTCCCCATTCCCTTCTGCCCTCACCCCCCGAGCCCTGCTCCTCCCCAGTCTCACCTCACTGCTGCCCTCCCCTCCCCCACCCCATTCCCTTCTGCCCTCACTCCCCGAGCTCTGCCCCTCCCCAGTTTCTCCTCACTCCTGCCCTGCCCTGCCCTGCCCTCCCCCCCATGCCCCGGAGCTGCCCTGTCAGATTTCTGATTTGTCCACAGTGGTGTTTGAATGGCAATTCTGACCCCCACTGATCCCCTCTTCCCCCCATCCCAGGGCCTGCCGCCTACGGGCTCCCGCCAATGATTGGGCCCAAGGTCGTCAACAAGAGCTCAGCCCCAAACTATTCCCTCCTGGGACGCAGCTTGGTCGGCAGTTTCTATGAGGACCTGAGCAAGGTGAGAGGCAGCAGCGGAGCTGGGGAGGGGGGTACTCAGGTGGAAGGGGGTGAGGAAAGGGGGATGGGGGACACGCCTGGCGATGGGGAATGGGGGGTCAGAATGACAGCTGGGTTGCGGCTCGGCCTACTTTGGAGGGGGGGGCGCCCCTGGGAGTGGCCTGTTGGCAACTGAGCTCCGCTCTCCTTGTGTGCAGACGCCAGGGCCCTGTAACTATCGTGTGGTGGAACCCAGCGTGTTCAAGACCCGGGCCCCCCAATACAGCATGCTTGCCCGCAACATGCTTCCTGGGGACAACACGCAGAAACCAGGGCCTGGGGCACACAGCCCAGAGAAGGTGAGGAGGGGGCCAGGACACACACACACACACACGGGCTCACAAGAGCTGTTGTGTCAGGGACGTGTTGCATACATGTTGGCTGGTGGAGAGACTGGAGAGCTCATGGAGAGATGTCCCTGGCAGTGAACAGTGTGTGTGTGTGTGTGTGTGTGTGTGTGCGGGGCGGTGATACAGTGTGTGTGTGTGGGGGGGTGATGCAGTGTGTGTGTGAGGGGGGGGCGATACAGTGTGTGCGGTGGGGGGGTGATGCAGTGTGTGTGTATGCGGGGCGGTGATACAGTGTGTGTGTGGGGGGGTGATGCAGTGTGGGGGGGATGATGCAGTGTGTGTGGGTGCGCAGGGTGATACAGTGTGTGTGTGGTGGGGGGGCGATACAGTGTGTGCGGTGGGGGGGTGATACAGTGTGTGTGTGGTGGGGGGTGATGCAGTGTGTGTGTATGCGGGGCGGTGATACAGTGTGTGTGTGTGTGGGGGGTGATGCAGTGTGGGGGGGATGATGCAGTGTGTGTGGGTGCGGAGGATGATACAGTGTGTGTGGTGGGGATGCAGTGTGTATGTGTGGGGGTGATACAGTGTACGTGTGTGTGTGTGTGTGCGCGCGCGTGTAGTGGGGAGCTAAGGTCTCAGGCAGGATTGTAGTTGTGGGGGAGCATTGAGATCTGAAGCGGGGGTGGGGGGGGGCGTGTGTGTTTATAACGTGGAAGCCAGGATCTCTGCAGGGTTACAGCGGGTGCTGGGGGCAGGAGCTGAGATCTCATGCACTGACCCTGCGGTGTTCTGCTCCCTCTCCCTGCAGTACGTCCAGCAGCGTGGCCAGACCTTTGGGATCCGCCACTCCGACTACCTGGCGCCCCTCATCGTGGACGTGGTGGATTAAGCGAGCATGGTCGGAGGAGCAGAGGGAGTGGCTGGTCGCGGGCGTTAGAGAGAGGGATGGGCTGGACAAGAATTGTGCATTTGAAAATTTTTGCTGACTTAACACTCTGTCCAGTCGCTTTTGGCGAGTCAGCCCCCAGCTCCTCAGGCCCAGGGAGACCCGGGGAGCTTAGGCCTGGCTCCTTCGGGCCATTCAGCAGCAGCCAGACAGTGGAACCGGAGCAGGCCATCGTGTGAGTGCTGAGCTCCAGGGGGTGTGTGGAAAGGGGGTGAGGCGAGGTCAGGCTGGCTGCAGCACCCCCGACAGACCAGACTCATTTGCACTAGCCCCAGTAGCTCGGGGGCCCCCCTCACATTCTGACTTTCACTCCTGAGGGAGATCCAGTCACAGCGGCAGACACCGGGGTGGCCAATGCGCCCGCACTCTCCTCTCTGTGGTCCCCTTTGGTGCTAGGAGACCTAGTGCAGAACTGGCTCCCACGCAATGCAGCCCAGCCCACCAATGCCCCTTGCCCTTGGCTTCTCTCCTGGGCCTCTGGTGAACAATTGCTGGATCCTTGCCCAGCGCTTTCTGCCCGCCGGTGAGGAGGTGGAAGGGTCTCATTTAGACTGCTCTATGCCCTAATGTTTCCCCATCAGCCCCTGGGATTGTCCCTCTCTGCGTACAGGTCGCTGCCACCATCAGCTACAAGCTATTGTCCAGGGCTTTGTTCAGTCTAGGAATGGGCTTCCCACCCATCCCCTGGCTGGCCAGTTCCCTCTCCCCTCCCATCTCTCTGCCAGGACATTTTTCCAGATCCTTGGCCTAATTTCCCTTTGCTCAGTTTGAGCCCACTCCTCCATATCACACCCCCTTTATCATGTTGATTCCTCTCCCTGTTCTCCTGCTGCCCCTTGGCTGTCCCTTAGCCAGCCTCAGCAGGGTTAGTGCTTTCAGCTTCCCCCCCTCCCCGCCCCACAACTCAGTGGCCCCCGGCCCCTCAGCAGTGTAGCTGCTCTTATTTGAGTTCCCTCCACTGTGTTGACATCTTTCTGGCGCTCAGATCCCTGGAGCTGAGCACAAGCTGGGCTCTCCCTGGAGCTGTGCAGAGAGGGCCCCTGCCTGCGTTGGGATGAGAGGCCCAGAGCTGAGTGTTCCCCAAGTTGCTTCTGCTGAGCCCCATTCGCGACTCCCTGTGCCGTTCTGGTTTCCATTTGCTGAACCTTTTCTGTCTTCCTTGTGTCAGGGGAAGGATCCCACTGCAATATGCTGCACGGTCTGTGCTCATGCTGAGGTCACTCCGGATAGAAATTGGATCCTCCTGCTCCAAAAACACAGACCCCACCCACTTGAGCTACAGGAGCTGTCCCTGTAATGGGCTCACCACACACCGTTGTGCCATTCTGATTCTGTCCATTAGAGGGCAGTGCTCTCTCTATCGTTCTCTGTGTCTCACACACTCTAGCTAGTTCATTACAGACACGATATATTTATACCCAGATGTGGTTACAATAACCACATCCCCATCCCTGTAGGGAAA